TACCCCAGACGTATATATCCGTCTCATTGAATCGGGACGTTGTGTGCCCCAGACGTATATATCCATCTCATTGAATCGGAATGTTGTCTGACCCAGACGTAAACAACCGTCCTCCCGAAGTAGCATGCTTTTCTATTCGCTGCTATCAGTAAAACTATTTTGAAGGCTTTGCAATACAATAAAATGACCTTGACAGTGTTTGCTAAAGATTTACTTATTTTAGATAAAAATTTGCTTATTTGTGCCTCTTCTCCCCCCTCCCCCCACAAAAATAAACCACATATGTGCACTTATGTGAAAAATGGAGACACTAGGGAGTGAATTGAGTAACTTTTAATTGGCAGTTAAGGAGTTAACTCTGATTGCCGACTTATCCATAATTATTAGATAGCTCGATAAGGCGAGAAATTGTCTATGTAGTCATTTGTATAAAATATTTCGTATGAATATATGTACCGTATATTTCCCTGTATAAATCAATAATTTTCAGAAATATTTTTAAAATTTTAGGAAATTTTTGTTCTAAAAATTTTTTACTTTTCTTTTATTCAAAAAAAGAGAAAAGAAAGTCATATAAATCCTTCAAAGTTATTGTCAGAATCTGAGTTTCAGAATAGTTCTTAAAAATTACGTTTACTCATTGGTATAAATTTCTCTTTCCCCTCATTTTCCGAGCAATAGTGGCACAGAAAGTTTGACTTGCATCAGTAGCGCACACAGGAATTTTTCAAGGGGGGTCCGGGATCTAAAGTTCACCAATCTTGTATCATGTTCCTTTTGATTTTGTCGATTTTCGGGAACAAAACACTGTAAATAACTAATTATTGAATAAATATTAACATTAATTAACAAAATTAATCATTAATAACAAATAATTAATTTTTACCTACTATATACTTAGAATTATAATCAAATGGAAAAAAATTCAGGGCTTTGGGGAGGAGGGGGGACCGGACCCCCAAGACCCTCCCCTTTGTGTGCGTCACTGACTAGCATAGATGTGTTCAAGATAACAAATGATTCGACTAAGTGTGTTATCTTCCGATAGGATTACCAGAAATAAAACTATGGACGTTGGTGTCTGTAGTAATTTAATTGGAAATATTTCACCCTCTTGGTAACATTTTGCTGTCCTGTTACACATATTTGAAAACTATAGGCGTTTTTCTACTTTTTTTTTCAATGCGTCTTACATATTCGGTTACGAATTTCGGCTTATACATGGATCATTTTATATTTAGAAATATACTGTATTTATATACCGTAAAATGCGGCGCATAACGCACTTTTAATGCAAAAAATAAGATAGAAATGTACGGGTGTGCGTGTGTTATACGCCGGATATCAAAACGAGAACGTTGCAAATAAAAGATGTGCATTGAAAAAAATTATACTTTTGCATACATCGAAATATTTTTTTATTTAAAAGAAATGGCTTACTTAATGAACTTAAAGAGTTGTAGAGTCCTAAAAGTATACTATTTTTTTCTAAAGCTTGGAATAATACCTCGAATAAATGATTTCAAAACATAAGAACATTTAAGGTTTCTTCTTCAAAAAGGGGGTGAGCGTTATACGGTGAATATACATGGAAATTAATAATTGCAGTTTGAAAGCACGCGTGGGCGTTATAAGGCCGTGCACGTAAAACGCCGGATTTTTACGCGGTGTATATATATATATATATATATATATATATATATATATATATATATATATATATATATATATATATATATATATATATATATATATATACAGTAGCGCACTCAAGAATTTTTCTAGGGAGGTCCAGGATCGAAGTCCACCTTTTTGATATCATGCACGCCGCCCAACATATTCTTTTGATTTTGTTGATTTTCGGGAACAAAAATAATACAAAATTATTTAATAAATAAATAATTAGCATTAATTAATAGAATTAATTATTAATAACTAATATATAATTAAATTTTGCGTAATATATACATAGGATTATAACCAATTAAAAAAAATCAAGGACTATGAGGGTGTCCGGACCCCTAGGACACACCCCTTGTGTGGGCCACTGTATATATATATATATATACGATTAGTACAACAATGTACACATAATATGTACCTTTTACATTGTGTACAATAGTTATATCTATATAGATTAAAATTAGAAGTTTTAGGTACAATTATTATACTAATATTTGAAAGGTTTTAATCTGACTTATTATTAGTTGGTAAGGAATTCGTTAGTACATGGAGAAGAGGGATCTTGTATATTATTTTTCTAAAGCTTCTTCCTATGTGAACAATTATTTCGAGTTCTTCCGGCTCCGTTCTATAATATTAGGCTTAACAGAACCCATTTTCCATCTCGTTTTTCTCAAAAATTTTATAAATCAAAGCAAAGCTACGGAAAATATTTTTACAAACGTTTCCACCCCCTGCATCTCATAGTAAAGCTATGGGGGTATCGGCCGGAACTTACAGCACGTCCCCTGGCAATTGTCTACTTTTGAAGCATTTGGAACTATTTTCTTGGCAGAAACACTTATTCGTATTATATGACACTAAGCGACGCACATGAAATACGATCTCCATGCATGCGTCGTGTACCCAGATTTCGACCGAAAATCCTCAAAAGTTGTTTCTCCCGCAACAATAACAAAGCAAGCGGATATTTTATTTGATATCTCATCTATCATGCACGGTATCCTGTGTCTCTGCGTTTCTCCACGGAAGATGGCTAGAGGTCGGTTTTGATTTGGAAATATGAAGGAAATTGAGGGGGCTTTTCCCCTCCCCTCCCCAGGGGTGGGAGGCATCATTCATCCTCTTCTGCAAAGCGTTTTATGTGTCTAGAGTAAAAGGTAAGGAGACAAATTTGCTTTTCTTTTGTCTTAGTGCTGTAAGTAATAGGGACAGGGAAAATGTTAGGGAAAGGGGGGTGTGATTAGTTGTTTTCAGGTTTCCAGGTGAATTTTTTACTGGTTATTTTGTTTTTTTGAGAAAGGTAAATTTTGATAAAGCGATGGGTGTGGAATTTGGGACTCATGGCTCCCCCCCTTTGTTCCAAAGATACTTTTGTTATGGTTTTGATATACAGTCTAACCTCTATTTTATGAATTTCTCTATTTTGTGAACTTTTTCCTGGAATCAAGAACATTTTACTATTTTCTTTGTAAAATAACCTCCAAACAGCGAAGTGCACTTTCTATTTAACAAACTTTTTCTCTTCTATATAACTCGATTTTTCTCTCTCTAATTTTAAAACCTTTCAGAGCATTTTTCAAACTGTTTTTTCTTTTAGCACATTTTATGGTGATCGATGACACTGAATTGATTTTACCAGATGCCTAACTCACTAGAGCAATGAAATATGGTCATTATTTTTCAAACAAAAAATTCAAATAAAACTAACAGGTTTTATCAGTAAAAATTTAAGGACGTATGTAATAGTGTATGCCTAAAATTACTGGTTATAAAATGATGTACGTTTAAAATCTCAATCGTTCGTACAATGTTTTGTAAAACTAAATAAATTTCTAAGGAAGAATGCATTTTTAGAAAAAAAACCCTCCCGTAATAAAAGAGGGGGAACAATTTAATCACATCAACAGATTTCACGTTAAAATCGAAAATTTTAAAGAATTTTCGGTTGCAAATTCTTGCAGATGCACATGATTTCTCCCAAGCTATAAAAACTTTAATGTCATTAAAAACAATATATGTAAGTGAAAAATATTTCTCACAACGTAAGTGGCTATAATATATATATATATATATATATATATATATATATATATATATATATATATATATATATAAACTAATTGAACGCAGAATTTCAAATAAAACTGCAGATAATTTCGATAGGCCTAGATTTCGACAGTTTATGTAAAAAAAAGACGCAAGCACCTACACTAGTTAGTAAATATAATAGATGGGTAAGTGACACTTGGTAACCAAATTAATATCATTAATACATAAGTTACATTACGATTTTCTGATAATAAATACAACAGTTCTTTAGTTGTCTTTGCATAAAGAAACTATAAAATGTTGATCTACTTTAAATATTTCTAAGTATACTGAGTAAAATGGGGTCACACCTTAGACCTTTAAGGATTCTATGAGATAAAAAAATTCGGAGACCACTGGTTTACACGAGTAAAACCATATTAGCTTCTGATGGGCAACCAAATTTTGTTTTTGATATTACGCTTGTTATCGCAGTAAATCTTTCTTGACCACTTATAAAATGGGTTCAAACCCCACTCCTGACAATTGTTCCAAGGTTGTAAGCACGTTATTCTATTTTGATTCTTAAATTACAATTCACTAACATAACGATTCGCTTCGAATTTCATTCATTATTTTAATTTTTTAAGTGAGTGAGTTAATATTAACGTCGCACTGTTCAGCTACACGAGGGCTTTTGGCGACGGACCACGTAATTTTGAACCATGGTCAAGTGACGTGGACGACACCTGAGCTGGCACCCCCCTCTCCTAACTACCACACCACACCAACGGGAGGACGTTTCAGCTCTCGACAGATTTAACGTGCATCGCTGCCCTACACGGCGGGCCTTTGGTGGTACTGGGATCGAACTCATGACATGCCTGCCATGGTTGGATACCTTAACCACTGGGCTACCGCAACCCCTTTAATTTTTTAAGAGCAAAGGTATAAGAAAAGAGTATTTGTTGGAAGCAATCATAAATATCCTTTCATCTCACTCGTGTTTCTTGGTTCAGGAGTCAGGATGGCCGAGCGGTCTAAGGCGTCAGATTTAAGCTCTGGTTCTCGAAAGAGAGCGTGGGTTCGAACCCCACTCCTGACAATTGTTGCAAGCACGTTATTGTATTTTTGATTCTTAAATTGCGATTCACTAACAGAACTATTCTCTTCGAATTTCATTCATTATTTTAATTTTTTTCAGAACAAAGGTATAAGAAAAGAGTAGTTGTTGGAAGCAATCACAAAAGTATCCTTTCATCTCACTCGTGTTTCTTGGTTCAGGGGTCAGGATGGCCGAGCGGTCTAAGGCGCCAGATTTAAGCTCTGGTTCTCGAAAGAGAGCGATTCCATTAATACAATATTAGGTTCGAACCCCACCCTGACAATTGTTCTTACGTTGCAAGCATGTTATTCAATTTTTGATTCTTAAATTTTTTGCGATTTACTAACAGAACGATTCTCTTAGAACTTCATTCGTTAATTTAATTTTTTAAGAGCAAAGGTATAAGAAAAGAGTAGTTGTTGGAAGCAATCAAAAAGTATCCTTTCATCTCACTCGTGTTTCTTGGTTCAGGAGTCAGGATGGCCGAGCGGTCTAAGGCGCCAGATTTAAGCTCTGGTTCTCGAAAGAGAGCGTGGGTTCGAACCCCACTCCTGACAATTGTTCTTACGTTGCAAGCATGTTATTCAATTTTTGATTCTTAAATTGCGATTTACTAACAGAACGATTCTCTTAGAATTTCATTCGTTAATTTAATTTTTTTAAGAGCAAAGGTATAAGAAAAGAGTAGTTGTTCGAAGCAATCACAAAGTATCCTTTCATCTCACTCGTGTTTCTTGGTTCGGGAGTCAGGATGGCCGAGCGTCTAAGGCGCCAGATTTAAGCTCTGGTTCTCGAAAGAGAGCGTGGGTTCGAACCCCACTCCTGACAATTGTTCTTACGTTGCAAGCACGTTATTCTATTTTTGATTCTTAAGGTATCCGACTACCCTAAAGCAATGATTTTTTTCAAAACTTGGCAAATTTTTTTATGACTTAATTTTATAGACCATTTTATTAACTTAATAACAATACCAAGTACTTTATTTTCCCTCAATAGAACAAAAACTACAAGCGTTTTAGTAAAAGCAAATGCCATAACTTTACACAAGATGTCAAACATTAAAATGCGTTTTACTCGAAATGTGTTTTTTTCGAAAAACTCAAACGGGGACCGCGATTGCTCAAAAAGTTTTGAAAATAATTAGCTGAAATTTTTTGCTTATGTTCTGCATAACAGTAGAAATGTTTTGATCTTCAGAATTATCAATCACTGTTTTATTTCAAAATTTGCAGTTCTTTATGTGAATATAGTTCAATGTTTCTTTAAGCAATTTCGTATAATGACTTAGATAAAGTGCTCTAGTTTTTGTAAAAATTAAAATATCTCTTATCGTGACGGTCACTTCAAACAGGAATAACAAAGTAACACATCAAAATTGAAAAATTGAGAATTTGTTCATAAAATCTTTGTACAGAGCGGGCCCCGTTTATGTAATTTTTCGTACATTTTTACTAGTTTTTTCCCATTTTAATAATAAAAATATTTTTCTTTTACCAATTTTAGGATTTTTTCCTTAAAATATACAAAAAAATATAAAAATCACAAAAAAAGACTCCATATCTCCTTTTTCAAAAAAAGTTGTCGCAAGCAGTCGGATACCTTAAATTGCGATTTACTAACAGAACGATTCTCTCAGAATTTCAATCATTATTTTAATTTTTTTAAGAGCAAAGGCATAAGAAAAGAGTATTTGTTGGAAGCAATAATAAATTATCCTTTCATCTCACTCGTGTTTCTTGGTTCAGGAGTCAGGATGGCCGAGCGGTCTAAGGCGCCAGATTTAAGCTCTGGTTCTCGAAAGAGAGCGTGGGTTCGAACCCCACTCCTAATAATTGTTCCAACATTGCAAGCACGTTATTCTACTTTGATTCTTAAATTGCGATTTACTAACAGAACTATTCTCTTAGAATTTCATTCGTTAATTTAATTTTTTTAAGAGCAAAGGTATAAGAAAAGAGTAGTTGTTGGAAGCAATCATAAAGTATCCTTTCATCTCACTCGTGTTTCTTGGTTCAGGAGTCAGGATGGCCGAGCGGTCTAAGGCGCCAGATTTAAGCTCTGGTTCTCGAAAGAGAGCGTGGGTTCGAACCCCACTAATAACAACATTAGCACGTTATTCTATTTTTGATTCTTAAATTACAATTCACTAACATAACGATTCGCTTCGAATTTCATTCATTATTTTAATTTTTTAAGTGAGTGAGTTAATATTAACGTCGCACTGTTCAGCTACACGAGGGCTTTTGGCGACGGACCACGTAATTTTGAACCATGGTCAAGTGACGTGGACGACACCTGAGCTGGCACCCCCTCTCCTAACTACCACACCACACCAACGGGAGGACGTTTCAGCTCTCGACAGATTTAACGTGCATCGCTGCCCTACACGGCGGGCCTTTGGTGGTACTGGGATCGAACTCATGACATGCCTGCCATGGTTGGATACCTTAACCACTGGGCTACCGCAACCCCTTTAATTTTTTAAGAGCAAAGGTATAAGAAAAGAGTATTTGTTGGAAGCAATCATAAATATCCTTTCATCTCACTCGTGTTTCTTGGTTCAGGAGTCAGGATGGCCGAGCGGTCTAAGGCGTCAGATTTAAGCTCTGGTTCTCGAAAGAGAGCGTGGGTTCGAACCCCACTCCTGACAATTGTTGCAAGCACGTTATTGTATTTTTGATTCTTAAATTGCGATTCACTAACAGAACTATTCTCTTCGAATTTCATTCATTATTTTAATTTTTTTCAGAACAAAGGTATAAGAAAAGAGTAGTTGTTGGAAGCAATCACAAAGTATCCTTTCATCTCACTCGTGTTTCTTGGTTCAGGAGTCAGGATGGCCGAGCGGTCTAAGGCGCCAGATTTAAGCTCTGGTTCTCGAAAGAGAGCGTAGGTTCGAACCCCACTCCTGACAATTGTTCTTACGTTGCAAGCATGTTATTCAATTTTTGATTCTTAAATTGCGATTTACTAACAGAACGATTCTCTTAGAATTTCATTCGTTAATTTAATTTTTTTAAGAGCAAAGGTATAAGAAAAGAGTAGTTGTTGGAAGCAATCACAAAGTATCCTTTCATCTCACTCGTGTTTCTTGGTTCAGGAGTCAGGATGGCCGAGCGGTCTAAGGCGTCAGATTTAAGCTCTGGTTCTCGAAAGAGAGCGTGGGTTCGAACCCCACTCCTGACAATTGTTCCAAATTGCAAGCACGTTATTCTATTTTTGATTCTTAAATTGCGATTCACTAACAGAACTATTCTCTTCGAATTTCATTCATTATTTTAATTTTTTTCAGAACAAAGGTATAAGAAAGAGTAGTTGTTGGAAGCAATCACAAAGTATCCTTTCATCTCACTCGTGTTTCTTGGTTCAGGAGTCAGGATGGCCGAGCGGTCTAAGGCGCCAGATTTAAGCTCTGGTTCTCGAAAGAGAGCGTGGGTTCGAACCCCACTCCTGACAATTGTTCTTACGTTGCAAGCATGTTATTCAATTTTTGATTCTTAAATTGCGATTTACTAACAGAACGATTCTCTTAGAATTTCATTCGTTAATTTAATTTTTTAAGAGCAAAGGTATAAGAAAAGAGTAGTTGTTGGAAGCAATCACAAAGTATCCTTTCATCTCACTCGTGTTTCTTGGTTCGGGAGTCAGGATGGCCGAGCGTCTAAGGCGCCAGATTTAAGCTCTGGTTCTCGAAAGAGAGCGTGGGTTCGAACCCCACTCCTGACAATTGTTCTTACGTTGCAAGCACGTTATTCTATTTTTGATTCTTAAGGTATCCGACTACCCTAAAGCAATGATTTTTTTCAAAACTTGGCAAATTTTTTATGACTTAATTTTATAGACCATTTTATTAACTTAATAACAATACCAAGTACTTTATTTTCCCTCCAATAGAACAAAAACTACAAGCGTTTTAGTAAAAGCAAATGCCATAACTTTACACAAGATGTCAAACATTAAAATGCGTTTTACTCGAAATGTGTTTTTTTCGAAAAACTCAAACGGGGACCGCGATTGCTCAAAAAGTTTTGAAAATAATTAGCTGAAATTTTTTGCTTATGTTCTGCATAACAGTAGAAATGTTTTGATCTTCAGAATTATCAATCACTGTTTTATTTCAAAATTTGCAGTTCTTTATGTGAATATAGTTCAATGTTTCTTTAAGCAATTTCGCATAATGACTTAGATAAAGTGCTCTAGTTTTTGTAAAAATTAAAATATCTCTTATCGTGACGGTCACTTCAAACAGGAATAACAAAGTAACACATCAAAATTGAAAAATTGAGAATTTGTTCATAAAATCTTTGTACAGAGCGGGCCCCGTTTATGTAATTTTTCGTACATTTTTACTAGTTTTTTCCCATTTTAATAATAAAAATATTTTTTTCTTTTACCAATTTTAGGATTTTTTTCCTTAAAATATACAAAAAAATATAAAAATCACAAAAAGACTCCATATCTCCTTTTTTTCAAAAAAAAGTTGTCGCAAGCAGTCGGATACCTTAAATTGCGATTTACTAACAGAACGATTCTCTCAGAATTTCAATCATTATTTTAATTTTTTTAAGAGCAAAGGCATAAGAAAAGAGTATTTGTTGGAAGCAATAATAAATTATCCTTTCATCTCACTCGTGTTTCTTGGTTCAGGAGTCAGGATGGCCGAGCGGTCTAAGGCGCCAGATTTAAGCTCTGGTTCTCGAAAGAGAGCGTGGGTTCGAACCCCACTCCTAATAATTGTTCCAACATTGCAAGCACGTTATTCTACTTTGATTCTTAAATTGCGATTTACTAACAGAACTATTCTCTTAGAATTTCATTCGTTAATTTAATTTTTTTAAGAGCAAAGGTATAAGAAAAGAGTAGTTGTTGGAAGCAATCATAAAGTATCCTTTCATCTCACTCGTGTTTCTTGGTTCAAGAGTCAGGACGGCCGAGCGGTCTAAGGCTCCAGATTTAAGCTCTGGTTCTCGAAAGAGAGCGTGGGTTCGAACCCCACTCCTGACAATTGTTGCAAGCACGTTAATGTATTTTTGATTCTTAAATTGCGATTCACTAACAGAACTATTCTCTTCAAATTTCATTCATTATTTTAATTTTTTTAAGAGCAAAGGCATAAGAAAAGAGTATTTGTTGGAAGCAATCATAAAGTATCCTTTTATCTCACTCGTGTTTCTTGGTTCAGGAGTCAGGATGGCCGAGCGGTATAAGGCGCCAGATTTAAGCTCTGGTTCTCGAAAGAGAGCGTGGGTACGAACCCCACTCCTGACAACGTTGCAAGCACG